TCGGTCTTATCAACACCTTCACAGGGCAGACGTGAACTTCAAGGAAGATCAGACCTTTATCCATGTCAAATTCTACTACCAGTCGTTCATCACCTTACAACGAAATAGGGTAAATACATCTCATATTACTGATTTACTGGTAGTCTCGAAATTCTACTCTAACACGAAAATATATTCTTTTCATCTGGTTTAAGGTCATGAGTAACTGGCAGTTGAATTTTCCTACAATCTGATGAGTCGGCATCATGTTTCCACTGAATTTTGCATAGCCTTGCCTCCCTAAAGCTATTCTCATCCCAGCTGGAATGGTCCCCAGTTTCGACCCTGCCCTGTTCTCATCATCACCACTAGCCGGACTCGAACCTGGGCTTTGGTAGTGCCACGTGTAATCTCGACATGTTAAATATTACGCCAGACTGTCACCAGCGTGTTTGGAAAATAGGGCTGATGTCCCATCTCTGCTGCAATGGGAGTTTCGATAAAGTAAAGTCCTATCTGCTATAGAAATTGTGGGTTTTCGAGACCTTTATTATCTAAAATTAATTGGGGTGAATACATCTCATATGCATGATCTATTTGTTAAATGGACAATAGTGAATGAATTTGATTGTGCTTTGTGTGTGTTTATGAACGTATGAGTATGAAGTCAAAGTTTCATAGTCCCGGTGATCTGGTGGAAATGTTGGATACAATGTCAAGCATTGGTATCAATCTGCCGGATAGAGTTGTGCTCAGAGAATTTCAGGCGCGAATAAAAAGAGGGGTTTTCATCGAATTGTATCGGACAAGCTGTTGAAATCTTGTGGCACGAAGTGACCTCTTCTCTTTCAGTTTCTTCGAGGTGAGCCCAAAATGGGGAAAAACCCTAAAATCCTCGTCGGACGAGATGGCACCGGCAAAATGGTTGTAGCCTGGCCGGTTGGGAGGGTCCTTCTGAGAAGAGCAGAAAAGCTTCGCTTGTCTGTCGTCTAAAAGTTGGAGTGCTTAAGTGTCGGGTCACGTATTTGCTGATTCTTGAGCGCAAAATTCGACGTACAGTAGTCGCCTGGGTTCTCCAAGAACTCCGTGAAATTGCCCATTTCTAGGCCCTACTTTCTGGTGCCATTGACTTCGGCAACGGGGCCCGACGTCCATTCAAAGAGCGACGACAAAACTCGATTGTTGCTCAATCTGTTGAAGAGATCCTCATTCCTTCGGACAACCGAATGCGCTGAACTTGTGCTTGCTGCCAGCGACCGGTCAGTCGGGGAATGTGAATCACAATCGGGAGACATGACAAAACCAGAGAAATGATGTGCAAAACGCAAGAGTGGCTAAGCTTGATGTTTATAAAATTAATTTAAAACTGACC